AAAATCACGAAACTTCTAGGAGCAAACCTTTGTGACCTGGGGTTGGGCAACTATTATTCTTAGTTTACCAATGAAGAATGGGGCACAGACAGTTAAAGAACTTGCTGAGGTCACACAACTAGTTAGTAGCAGAACTAGTCCGCAAACCCTTAAATTCATGCTCAGATTCGATGATGGCGAGGGCAGCGGGGTTCATGCAGGAATGAAGGAGAATGCCCGGGACTGCTCCCTTCTCCTTCACATTGTACCCCAGTTACAGAAGAACCACGGAGCCCTCTCCCGGGGACACGTGGCCTTGCTTGCACCGGGATGGAGCACTCTGCGGTCCCCAAAACAGGTCACTGCTTGCCACTGTCCTGGGCCCAGGTGTCCAAACGAAACCACTGGCCGTCCTTGACCCAGTCTGTGCTTTCCCGCCTCCAAGCCTGTGCTCGTCCCCATCTGACACCCCTTCTCCATCTCTGCCTGTCCCCTCCCCATTTAGCCTTCAAAGATGTTGCTGCCTCCAGGCAGCCCTCCTTGATGCTCTCAGCCTCAGCATCTCTCCTCCTCTGAGCTCCTCAGGACTCTCCCGGTGCCTTTCTTAGAGTACGTATCACTTTCTACTTAGGTGATGGCTCTTGGTGTGAAGTCTTTCCTCCTTCTGGAAGGCGGGCCCCTCAAGGGTAGGACCCACATCTGAGCCGTCTTTGTATCTCCCTGCACAGCACCTGCTTAAGGCACGTCCGACGGGTGAATGTGTGTGGAGAAGCCACCACCGGTAGTCTGTTGTCCTTGTTTCTCCTTGGAAGGCCAGGCCCACCCTTCACGGTACAGAGAAAGTCTGTCTCCCCTCCTTGCTGTCTGAGCCCTGCTCAGGGCCAGGCAGGCCGCAGGCACCAGGTCACCCCTCTGTGCAAGACCTCTTCTCCCTGTTTCCGACACCGCAGACTCTAGGCTGAAGCCCTGCTCACCCCCCTGCCCGCCCCAGGTTCCTGTAGCACCGAGAGCTCTCAGGGGAACAGCCACTGCCCGTGGGATCCTCAGAACCTCTTTCTTTCCCCTTGGCCCCAGTTAGGCTGCTGTTAGCAAAGCAAAGAGGGCAAAGGAGACCCCCAAGGACAACGGCTCCTGTGGGTTTCCTTGGTGGGGGCAGGAGTGACCTGTGGCCCAGGTAGACAAAAGTCACGTGGTCCATCCCCTGCCTCTGGGGGGACACTCTTGGTCTATTTCGGGTGGGCAATTCTCTCTCTGATTCTGAAAGCTCCTCCTGGGTCACACGTGCCCACTTCTCAGAAAGCTGCTGTTGACGTCCCTGCTCCATCGCTCTCCTGTGACCTGCGCTCCCTCGGTCCACGTCTGACCTGCAGTGCGTGTGAGGGGAGGCGGTGGAAGCAGGAGGCCGGACTGGAGCTGGGGTGTGAAGAGTGGACCGTGTTCCAGCTCACTGGGTGAGCCGCCAGGTCCCGGAGCTGACATCCTGGGAGAGTGGGGCTCATTCCCCGACCAGGCACTGGGTCACCTTCCTTCCCGTCCCTGGGGACCCAGGAACACGGGAGCCCAGGAGGGTCAGAGGCCATGGCTTGAGGATGAGGGAGAATGACAGCTCCTGGTGGTGGTGGGTCACACAGGGGTCCTTTCCAGGAAAGGGACGCGCCCCATCCCGTCTGGACAAGGGGCAGTGGGGACAGTGGAGAAGGCAAGGAGGGGCCCTGAGGGAGGGTCAGATCCCCACGGGATCTGAAGGGGCCCAGAGATCACATCTTGGAGCAGGATTTCCCCAACCCAGACTCTCTCCAGCCCCGGGAGTGACATGCATGTGGCCGTCCCAGGAACCCTGGCCCCGTGTCCCACCCAGGGAATCCTCTAGTCTGCTGCCATCAGGTCAGGATTCTTGGCAGACAGAGGAGTACAGGAAACAGGGGCTGGCAGGAAGGGAGGTCTCTCCACCAGGCAGACCCTTCCACCACCCTCCGCTCTCCCACCCTCCCCCCAAGGGACCTCGGCGGCCTGGGCTGCAGAAGAACCCAGCTCTGACCCAATTCTCCCCTCCAGCCCGACCCACCCATCCCCACAGCCAGAGCTGGTATGAGGGCTCTGCATTGGGGACCTTTCCTCCAACACACCAATCCTGAGTTCTTTTGCAAACGATTGCCTGTATTAGCCTAAGCTTTTAAAGAAGAAAACTACAGAAAGCAGCCTCACACACATGCTCTCCAGCCCCAGTCTTCACCCAGGTCCTCGCCCTCCCTCCCTCCTCCCTCCCCGTGGTCACAGCACACCCAGCTCTTCCCGCCCTCTCTCCAAGGGTCCCCAAATGGGGATTGGCCTCCATCCTGCAGACAGCTTCTCTCCGATCTCCTGAAGCGGAACAGGGAACCCACGCGGCGAGCGCGGAGGCTCGCTGGCATCCTGTTGAGTGGCTCAGCTTGGGGCTGGGAGGCTGAAGGCCACCGCTTCTGCTTTTCCTTCCCCCAGCAGTCCAGGCTCTGCTGGCAGAACCTTCCCGGGGCCCCCTCATTCCGGCCTCCCTGGGGCTCCAGGCACTGCCACTGTTCTCCATCCTTCAGGACTGGCTCCCCAGGCCGGTGTGGACGTCAAGTGAAGCTTTGGGGATCTGCCGTCATGCTGTGGCTGTGGGGCCGGGCAGGGCCATCCAGGGTGAGGTGGGGCTAGGGGCTGGATTCTGCAAGACAGAGACGGGGCTATGCCAGCTGGTCCCCAGGGGGCAGCTGCCACCCACCCATGACAAGTGGTGAAGGTGGTACAGCAAGGGGGTCAGGCCCGGGGGCTCTGCCATCATGGGGCATGGGTTCAAATCCACAGCCACCATGTGCTCTCTGACCCCCGGCAAAGCCCTCCTTGGCCCCTTGGGCCACCACGACCACCCCCAACTCCAGATGTGTGTGTGCTCAAGCTGGGCTCTGAGAGAGAGGCCTCCTGATGCCTCGGCACAGAAGCCACAGGGAGGAGAGCTGTTTGGTCCAGGGCCGAAGGGCCAGTCTTGCACAAAGGTCAATTCTGAATAATTAAAAATGCCTAGGGGTTCCTTTTTTTTTTGCTATTCAAAATATAAGATGTTTTAAATCCTATTGAGGAAAAATGTTTCCCTATTAACATAGATTATTTGCTTTCCTGAAGGGAGAGTACCAACAAGAGAATTGGCACGGCTTTGGGGCACCAAATGTCCACATCTGGGCGTATTTATGAAGGTGCAGCACAGAAGGAGACTCATCTCCAGTCTCGAACTGTGTCGCAAGGCCACGCGGGGAAGTGCAAGCGGGGGCTACGTGGCCCCTTAAGCCGAGTTGCTGGTCACTGATCTAGTCCAGATACTGCATCTTACAGATGGCAAACCAAGGCCCCAGGAGGGTGGGGATGGCCAGGGTAAGTGGGCAGAGTTCTGTAGATCCAGACGGACCGCGCTGGTGTCCTGACTCCCCGCCCCATTGCTCTAGACCGGACGGGTTGCCTTGAGGGCTCCCTAAAGGCAGGCAGGTGGCTGCTCCTCTGTCCTTTCCTCCCTCCCTCCCTCCCCACCGGCCGGCTTGACCCCCTGTCAGGGCAGCATCCTTACCTGTGACAATGAGGGTGGTGGTGCTGACAGCCTGGCCCAGCGCGTTCTCGGCCACCGCCTTGTAGCGGCCGCTGTCCTCGGGGGAGACGCTGGGGATGATAAGGGAGCACACACCCTGCACATCGGTGCTGTACACCGCGGGGTTGCCCGCCAGGCTCTCGTCATTCTTGTACCAGGTGACCTGGGGTCGGGGACAGCCCTGCACGGCACAGCTCATGCAGCATTCGCAGCCCGGGGGCAGCAGGTGGGCCCGCAGCCCCACCAGGAAGCGGGGCTTCTGGCGCAGGTCGGGCTCCCGGTGCCTCGGAGTCTTAACCATGAAGGCGTCTGCGATGAAAACCGGAGAGAGAGAGAGAGAGAGAGGAGGGTCAGAGGGTGGGGACGGCTGGCTGAGGCACGGTCCTAGGGCGACAGAGGCACCTCCCGTTCCTTCCTGCCTCAGCTTACCTGCAGATGTGGCCCCCACGGCTGACTCACCTTTTCCCCCTTTTCTTAAAACACTTTTGGGCTTTTTTTTTTTATTTAAACTACAAACTAACACACATTCCTGGTGGACAAATTAGAACATACAGCAAATCAAAAGGAGAAAGAATAGAACCAAGGGTCATCTCAACACCTCCGGACGACCAGGCTACGTTTTAGTGTGGAAACTTCCGGAGGTTTTGTATTTTAGAGAGACCAAGTGATGCGATGTGATAACCTGCTTTTTCCAGCAACTGGTGTAACCGAGGACCCTCCAGGACCAGTTCAACCGACCTCATCTTATCAACAGAGCAATTAAGAGCGGTCTTTGAGGAGCCGAGACCCCTCGTCCAGTTGAAGCTGGTTGAGACCACCAGCCCATCAACGGGGCCTGCGCAGATGCTCCGTCAGTGACCCTCTTGACGTCAAGGAGCTGAAAACTCCACGCTCCACTCACGGTAATGCCGCCGTTTTGTGACCATGCGTCTTATGAAGAGGACGGAGTCTGACTCCGCTTGCGCAGACCGTCAGTCACCTCTCCTCTCCTCACCTCCAATCATCCGTCTCCACACTGCAGACCACCCTGCCCTTCACCCTATAAACTGTGCCCCAAGCCCTGGATCCCGGAGACAGATCTGAGGGCACATGACCCCTGCCTCCTTGCAGATCCATCTTGCAAAATAAAGCTGATTTCTTTCCCCAAAACTGGTGCCTTAATAACCGGCTCTTTGTGCGTGTCAGACGACAGAGCCCCAATTTTGTGCGTAACGCTGCTTTGAAGGTCCACGTCTATTTGACTAATATGCACTTTCTTTTCAGAGAAACAGTAACCTCTCTTTACCTGGCTGCCTGCCACTGACTGGAGAAGCCACGAAAGGATGTAGACACGAGGACACACACAGCCCCTCCCGCCCTCCCCGAGTCACGGTGCAGAGGCCGTCGGGCGAGTGGGTTGGGCAGGAAGGGGGCACAGCAGTGGCTCCGGGTCTGGCTGGCCACCAGGTCCAGCTCCTAGGGGAGACACACACGCCCGCATCTCCGCCCCGGCCTCCGAGCTCGCTCCAGGGACGGCCGCCACACTCACCTCGATGCCGGGGGATGCACCAGGGCTCGCTGGTGTCCGAGGGCTGGCTGGCCCCCAGCTCGTTCTTGGCCACCACCCGGAAGTGGTACTCGAGGCCCGGGAGGACGCCCAGGAGGGTGAAGCGGTTGGTGTGCAGGCCGTCGGCCGCGAGGCGCCAGGGCCCGAGCCCCAAGCAGCGCGTGAACACCTCATAGTGCAACGGCGAGTCACCCCCCTCGTCCGGAGAGGGCTCCCACTCGGCCGTCACCGTCCCCGGCACGTTCTCCTGCAGACGGATGGGCCCGGGAGCCCGCGGGCACGCTGAGGACAGATGGCACAGGGAGCCGCGTTGAGGGGACCCAGCGGGCCACCTGAAATCACCCATGGGCTCCAGGGGTGGCCGTCCCTGTGTCCCCATGTCTCCTGGGGCCCTGGGGAACGCAGACTTGCAGGCAGGGACCTGGGGCCCGAGAGAGCGCAGCCAGGGGTCTGCAGTTGCATCTGGAGCAGGGAGACCACTCCAAATGAATCGTTTTTCTCTCAGCCCCATTCTCAGGGCTTGTCTTTTTTTTTTTTAAAGGAAGATTGGCCCTGAGCTAACATCTATTGCCAAGTTTCCTCTTTTTTTTTTTTTCCTCCCCAAAGCCCCAGTACATAGCTATATATCCTAGTTGTAGGTCATTCTAGTTCTTCTATGTGGGAAACTGCCTCAGCGTGGCGTGATGAGCGGCGTGTAGGTCTGCACCTGGGATCTGAACTGGCGAACCCCGGGCCGCCAAAGTGGAGCGTGTGCACTTAACCACTCGGCCACGGGCCGGCGGCGCCCCCCCCAAAACAGTCATTTTAATTCACTGGTTTGTAAGTAAAATGACACAGGACACGGGCAGAGCAGGGGTTTTCACGAGACCGAGCCGCAGAGCCCCCGTTGTCAGTGCATAATTCCATATTCCAGAAGCCCCTCGGGGTGGGGCCCGTGTGGCGGTGGCGGTGGCAGTGGGGAGGGCGGCCCTTATCTCCTACAAGGACCACAGACAACTCCCCCCAGGGCTCTTTCGAGTCAGGAGCTGGTGGTGACCGCTTCCACTCACTGACCCCAAATGAGGAATTGCTGGGGTCCAGTGAGGGGCTGTGGCTTAGCTGTCCCTGAGTTCCCGAGGCAGAAGAGCAACGAGCCCCTGGGGACCCTCCGTCGGCCTCTCCTCCTTTCTCTCTTTGAACACGTAGGGAGGGTTGGGGGGCGGGGGGCGATCCCTTTGCAAACCCAGGCCTGGGGGGCACAGCGGAGACCTGTGATCGGGCCAGAGGGAAAGCTCCCTGCCCTGGCGAGTGACTGAGCCGTTTCCAAGCCCCTGCCAGGCCTGCCTCACCTGCCACCCGGAGCAGGAAGCTGTGGGTGGCCTCCTTCCCCTGCAGGCCTCTCAGCACCACGGTGTAGAGGCCGGCGTCCGAGGGGCTGGCTGAAGGCACCAGAAGCTGGGTGAGGCCGTCCTTGGTGGACGTCACGCTTCTTCTAGGCAAGGGCAAGCCGTCCTTGAGCCAGGTCACCTCGGGCATGGGGGCAGCCTGGGAGATGAGGGGAAGGGAAAGTGGTGTGGAAGCCACGGCATGGGAGCTGGGCTGAGGGGCGGGCTGAGGGGCGAGCGGGAGAGGAGCACTGTGGGAGGACGGATGTCTGAGCAACGAACGAGGCAGACAGAGCGGGAGGGAGCGGCTGGGGACGGGAGAGGAGGCTGGATGCGAAGTCAGGCACAAACGCCAAGTGTCCTCAACGTGACACCCACACAGACTTCTGGAGTTTCTTCTTCGAGCAGTGAGCTGCTGGTTGAAGCTCTGAGCAGGGGGCTATAATTAGATCTGGATTCCCACTGCGGCGGGGGCGGGACGTGGCTGATGGGAGTGAGCGGGGCTCACGGGGAGGGGAGTGCTAGCACCATGTGCCCAAGACCAAGGGGGGGTGCCTTTGGGATCCCTGCAGGAGCCCGGGAGGACTGGCCGGGGACAGTGGTGACCCTGATGGCCATGCCACCAATCCCCCTCGAGACCCTCAGTCCTGGGCACAGGGGGCTCAGAGTCAAACAGGGGTGCGAACAGTCCTGCCTCCCAGATGGTTCTGAGGAGTCAAGAAGTCAATTAATTATATCAACGTGCTTTCAATGCATTAATTGCATGAATCCTCAGAGCAACCCTTTGAGATAAGTTACTATTATTACCCCCATTTGACAGAGGAGGAAGTAGGGCACAGAGAGGTTAAGATATTTGTGCACGGTCAAACAGCTAGTGAGTGACGACACCGGAATTTGAATCCGGGCCGTCTGGGCTGCTGACCGGGCACTGCACTGCTGTCCTGTCCGTCCAGAGATGCGTGGTGGTGCCTGAGAACCATCCTAAGTCACATGCAGGTGGTGGCCCGCACAGTATGAGTTCTGAAGTCAAAGGGGATCACGCACTGCAGGACCTCTGAACCCCCAGACTGAGGGCAGGTGGAGAAAAGTGGGTGGCCTTGTTTCGAGGTGCAGCACTGGAAACTACCACGAGAGGGGTTTGTGCACAGGAGCATGGTGGCCGCCCACTGGCCAGGTGAGGGCTGTCCCTTCAAGGAGGACCCTCCCTACCCCATTCCTCACAGCTGGCCTGATTTCCTGCACAAGCCCAGGTCCCAGATCAGGGCCTGAAAAGGACCAGGGGAGACAAGACAGCCACGGGGCTGAGTCCGGCTCCCTGTCTGCTCCGGGCTCCCCTCCCCACGCCCTGCCAGATGCACTCACTTCGAAGGGGACAGGAACACGAATGGTGTCGCCAGCTCTGACTGTCAGCGAGTCCTTCATGCTGGAGTCCAGTCGGAACTTGGGGCACACTGGAACACACAGGATGGCTGTCACCTCCCTCTGCAGTTGGGGCCTGGCCCCGAGGGGAAGGCTGGGCCAGCCGAATGGATGCCGAGATCTAATGGGGGCTGGGGGGGGCTCCGAAGGAACAGGAGAGGCGGTTGGGAGGCCCAGGAGCTGGTGGGGAGAGGCTGGCACAGAGCAGGACAGGGAAAAATGGACCCAGCTCTTTGCTTTCGCAGGTGAGATGACCCCCATCTGAGACAGGAAGTGCCAGGCCTGAGACCAACTGAGCCAGGGGCAGAGCTGGGACAAGATCCGGGATTCTGGACGCCAGGTGTTGTGTGCTTTTCACTGTACTCATCTCCTTTGTGTCACAGTGACAACTAGGGTCTGCTGGGGTGGCCCAGTGTCGGCTCGGGTCAAAGACGGGTCAGCTGCTTCCGGCAACTAAAGCCCAAGGGGTGGGACGGTCCACCCTCAGGTAACAGGGAGCTGGGCGGCTTCGGCCCTGAGTGTGAACCACACTTGTGAGCAACACCTGTGCCTTCTTAGGCCCAGCCTCGGGGGCAGCCAAGAACCCTGGAGGGAGCCTGGACATCAGAGTCACCACCTGGGTTACAACCTGCCTCTGCCACATACGGGTGGAGAGACCCAGGGCAAAGTACCTTTGACCTCAGTTTCCTTATCTGTAAATTGGGGATAAAATATTAACCTCGTAGGATTTTTATGAGTCGTAATGAGGAAACGTTTCTGCAGGGCCTGCCTGGCCCAGAGCCTCGCTCGTCCATCACAGGTGCTCAAGAAATGCCACTTTCGTCAAACCTCGGAAGGGGAGCCTGGCCCGCAAAGGGCACAGATGCCGCTCAGAGCCTTCTCCCGGGAAGGGCCTGTCGCGGGAGGAGGGGGGTGGCACTCACCAGTGACGGGCACGGCCTGCACCAACGTGTCCAGGGTGGTGGGCTGGCCGGGGCCCCCGTCGTTCACCGCTGTCACCCGCATGAAGTAGCTTTCTCGAGGCCGGAGCCCCTTGGCTGTGTAGGTGGGGCCGGGCACGGTGCCCGTGTGGCACCGGGTCCATTTCAGACTGTCCGAGCCGCGCAGCTCCACCACGTAGCCCTGAGCTTCGTCCCCTTCCTGAGTGTCCGGCCGGGCCCAGCTCAGGGTGATGCTGGTGTTCGACGTGTCTGTGACTTGCAGATCCCTCACGGGCCCAGGAGGTCCTGGCGAGGCCCCATGGGAACGTCAGGAATGGCGTCACCCTCCCTGAGGGTGGCCACTCCGTGCGGCTATTCATTGGTTTTCCTGTGGGAGGCTGGGGGTTTCTTTCACCGAGGGATTTGGAGTGTAGACTTTCCTGGAACCAAGCCCTTACTCCACCCCGCCCCCTGCCTCACTTGGGCACCGCAGATCCCAGCTCGCCTCTTCCAGGAAGCCTTCCCCAACTCATTCCACTTCTTCGCCAACCCACCAACCCCTTCCCCCTAACGCTCCTTCCTTAATTCCTGAAAGCTGGAATTTACTTGATGACTTCTCGGGCTCCGAGATCCACGAGGACTAGAACTCTTTACCTTTTTATTCTGAGCTCTAAGCTCCTAGTAAGACGGCCTTCTGGGCCCGCGGTTCTTATTCTTCTCCTGTGACGTGGGAACGAGCGTCATCACACAGGCCCTGCCCACCCCCGGGGGTTTGGGAACACTGTCTGATGCGTGTCAAAGGGCTTTGTCAATTGGACGGCACTGCGACCTTCAAGAGCCCCCCAGCGTTTCTAAGCACGAAGTGAGTTAATCTGCACACAAATCACCTGGGGGATGTCGTTAAAACTACGGATCCTGATTCAGGTGGTCTGGGGTGAGGGTTGAGAGTCTGCACGGCTAACAAGCCTCCAGCCAGTGCTGCTGGACCGGGGACCACGCTTAGCAACAAGGGTCTGGAAAATGTAGGATTGGGGTGGCGACTACGGGACACTGCTCGTCCTGCTTGTCTCCTCCCAGCATTGATGAGGGAGGAGGAAGATGGATCAAATACGACAGGTTGGGGCCATTTCCAAGGAGTGAGATGCACGGGTCCCCTTTCCTCTCCCATCCACTGACCACACGCTGCCCTTCCTGGGACCACCACTAAGATGCCACTTGGTCAATTAAACTTAAACTATTTTTGCTGGACTCATTCCAACAGCCTGAATACCTGTGGTGCCCTGCACAATGTTGGCCACATTGCAGGGGATGAGCAAATAGTCGTTGGATAGAGAAGCGATGCTGAGGTTTCCCTGTGGCCCCTCACCCTCCCGGCAGTGATGGGGGGAGTGGTAGGTTACAGCACTGGGACACGGGCAGCTTGGGGACTGATCTGCCCAGAGCCGAGGGGTCAGCGGGGTGATCTTGGCAAGGAGTTGTAATCCCCACTGCCTGGCCCCTGGGGGGCTGCTTGATCTCAGTTCAGGGGCTCGTGCCTTTCCTGTGCCCCTATGATGTGCCTCCCCCCACAGAGGCCATCTGGACTTTATCCTCCAGCCCTCCAGACCATTTCCTTCAGGACGGCCCCTGAACTGTGGCTGCCTGTCCTGTCCCACCGGCTCCAGACCCATCCCCTGCTCACCACCACCACCCCGTCCTCCTGGCTTGGTGCTGTACTTACTCATGGGGTCCCGAGCAAAGACGGCATCCGATGGGGGCCCAGGCTCTCCAGGGCCAGAGGGAGCCACGGCTGTGACCCGGAACTCATACTGACAGCCTTGCCGCACGTCTGCCACGGTCCACTTCCTCTCTGTGAAAAGCCCGCCCCACATTAGTCCCACCCTGATGGGACCAGGTGATGGGGGAGACGGGCGGCTCGGTGGCTCCGAGTTCTGGAGAAGACCAAGCCGGGGCCTGCATCCCTCCCCGCCGTCCAGCCCACCCGGTGTGGCTCCGTTCTCTCCAAGGGGAGGAGAACATTGCTCTGTGAGTCAGGGCCCCGAGTCCCTGCCCTGTGGTTCTGCCACCAACTTGCCGGGTGGTCTTAGGCAGGCACCCGAACCTCTCCGGTTCTGTCTGCCTTACAGCGTTGTTGTCATATTTAAATAAAACGGAACCACGACGTAATGAAGTCGGAAAGATGGCCTCAGCTCAGCTCCCTCCTTCTAGAGACGACGAGACTGGGGCCGGAGCAGCTTGGCCCTCCTGGTAACTGGGTCTCCTGACAACCTGCTCGGCGCTCCCACCTGCTCTTTCCCTGCGAGCCCTGCTGTGGGCTCTCCTGTTTTTTCTGACCTCAGAAGGGAGCTCCTCAGGAAGATCTTAGGAGCGGGGGACACTTCTCCCCCTTTTTGTGGATGAGGAAGCAAAGATCTAGTGAGGGGAGTAGCTGCCCGAGGTCAAGGCCAGGAGGAGAGCGGCCAGGGCCAACAGCTCCGCCTCTGGCTTCCATCCCAAGACATCTTCTCTTACAGCAGCTTTCCCAAACTCGGAGGCGCTGTTGACATTTTTCAGCTAATTCTTTGTTGAGGGTGTGGGGGTGGGGAGGGCGCGTGCTGTGCCTTGTAGGATGTTCATCAGCCTCTCTGGCCTTTCACACTAGATGCCACTGTCCACCTTCCCCCGACCCCCACTCGTGACAACTAAGACTGTCTCCAGACATTGCCAAAGGTCCCCAGGGGCAGCACTGCCCCAGGGGAGACCCACGTACTAAATTGGTCTGGCATGACGATGCCACGGGACCCTGCAGCTGGGAAGGGGTCCCGGGAAGGCTCGGAGAATCCCCGTCAGGCCCGCTCACCAGGCACCGGGCGGTCGTTTGCTGCTGTCCAGGTGTGGCTCCCCTTCTTGCGCTTCTCCACCAGGTAGCCCAGGATGTGGGCACTGCCGGGGCCCTGAGGCGCCGTCCACGTCAGCGTGATGGCCTTGCTGGAGGCTGACAGGATGGTCGGGGCGGAAGGGGGCCCTGGGAGAGCTGGGGGGCGGAGAAGGTGCAGGTCAGCCAGAGGCCAAGGAAAGGGGCCAGCTCTCGGGCAGATCTCGGGGGAGGAGCGGGGCCTCTGGGGACAGCCACATTGTCCTTCCCTGTGCGAGTGTCCGGGGGCCGAGCCAGCCTGCTCTGGGACACTGTTCTGGCTGTTTGGGGGCAGGAATGACGGGACCAGAGAAGCTTGTGGCCTAGGAGTCTAGAGCCAGCCCTGAGGCCCCTCGGCCCCACGTCCCCTGAGAGATGCTCCAGACAGGGGCATCTGATGGAGGAGGGTCCTGAGGCAGTGGCTCTGCCTGTCCATCCCCGACTCCCGGACAGCCACAGCTGGGAGAAGACCCCATCAACCTTGCTTCCTGATCTGGCAGCCAGATCTCGAACAAAGCAGAGGCAAGGGGTCTCCATAGTATTCTAGAAGGACCTCAAGACCCCCAGGCACTGTCTGGTGTCCCTCAGCCTCCAGGGCAGACCTGCCCGTCCTCTGCGCATGGTGGGGAGCCCGGGAGCGCTCCCCACCCCCAGCCCCAGCCTGTCCTCTCACCCTCAGGAGCCAGCAGCACCTCCGCAGACTCCAGGGCCTCCCCAGCCCCCTCGGAGGTCACAGCCCGCACGCGGAAGGCGTACTTCTTGCCCCGCTCCACGTGGGCGTCGGTGAAGCTGGTGCTGTCCCCGGGGGGCTCGCCCACGTTCAGCCACGTGCTCCTGCCGGCCTGCCGCCTCTCTACCATGTAGTGCTCCACTGCCCGGCCCCCATCGTCCCGCGGGGGCCGCCAGCGGAGGGAGACACCAGCCCCCTGGCAATCCTGCACCTCCAGGGGGCCCTGTGGGGGCTGGGGTTTGTCTGGACCCAGCAAGAGGAGCAGGGAGAGAAGGGGGGGTCAGAGGAGCTGGAGGGGAGCTGTGTGGGACATCCCCCCTCATGGGTGGATAAGCTGGCAGTGGGGTGGGGTGCCCAAGTGGGCATCACCTAGAGGTGCCCCTGGTCTCCCCCACCCCAGCACAGGCACATACATGCGGGGCGGTGACACGGAGGGCAGGACTCCCTGAGTGGCTGGCATGGGCACCTGCTCAGCCCTCCAGTGGCACCACTCAGGGCTGGGGGCCGCCACCCCATCCCATCTACTTCCCGAGGGCCCCGTGCATCAGCTCTCAGCTGACAACATTCCCTCCTCCCAGCACCAGCCCAGCCCTTTATTTATCTAAACTGCTTCTTCCTAACCCGTCTGTGGGGGGGGACAAAGCGCGGTAAGGGTAGGTTCGGATCTTAGCATGCAAATGCGGAACAGAGCCAGGGGACCACCCCGGGGCTGCCCCTGCTGGCAGGGAGGGCCCAGAACCCCGGGAGCCCCAGGCTTTGGTGGGGAGTAGGCTGGGGCTGGCACCTAAGACTTGCAGGGTGAGCTCGGCCTGCGCAGAGCCCCCGTCACTCCTCAGCGTCACGCTGTACTGGCCACGGTCCTTCCTGCTGGCGCTGGAGAGGCACAGCCGCGTGAAGTCGTCCCCCAGGGTCACCTGGGGCCCCCCGCTGCTGCGGCCCAGCACCTCGGCACCGTCCTTCCTCCAGGCAGCCTGCACGGGGAGGCGGCTCTGGAAGGGCACCTTCATTGTCACCGGCTTCCCAGCCTTGACCACCAGTGGCTCTCGCAGTTTCTCTGTCACATCGGGAGGGATGACGGGGGCGTCTAGAGACAGAACAGGGCAAGGGGCTCAAAGAAGGGCAGGCTCTGGGCACGGGGGGTGGGGAAGTGGGAGCCGGAGAGGGAGGTTTGGGTAAGAATAGAGCACCCCTCCCCACCTCCAGAGGACTAACGGGGTGAAGGGGCTTTCCCTGCAGCTGGAAGGACGAGGGGGAGACCTCACAGAGAGGTCCCAACACGGAACGGGGAGGGTGTGGGCTGGCCTTTTGAAAGCATCTTCTCAAACTCAGGATGAGATTAGACTGGCTGCAGACCAGCCGCACATCCGGGTGTTGGCAAGGGGAGCATATGCCCCAGTGCAGGGAGTCTGCTGAGCCGGAAGCAGGGCTGGGCCTCACCGTGGACGGTCAGTGTGGCCTCGCTCTGCTGGCTGCCGGCGACAAAGGTGTACCTCCCGGCCTGGGTGCCCTGCACGTGGGCAATGAGGAGCCTGTGCACCAGGCCATCCTGCTCAAAGATGACTCCATCCTGGGCACCAAGCTGGAAGAAGGGCCACAGAGGAGCCGGTCACCTCCTCCCGGCGCCGCTCCTCTGGGCCCTTTACTAACGGCAGGCACGTGCCAGAGCTGTCCATGCTCAGTATCCCATTTAGCTGTTCCAACAACCCCACAAAGTGGGGGCTGTTATTAACCCCGCTTTATACATGAGGAGACCAGAGGCCATCTCAGTGGTCAGTGGCAGACCTGGGATCTGAGCCCTGCTTAGCCATGCTCTGAAGCCCTGGGGTGTCCTTCCTCCTGGGATGACAGCCAGGATGGAGGACAGAGGGGCCCTTCAGAGAGACCAGAGATCCTGTCTGGTTGGGCCGACAAGACGCATTTGTACGAGGCCTTGAAGGATGGGGAGAGAGGCATGGGGAGATTCTGGATGGCAGGTGGGAAGGCAAGGGGTGTGTCGAGGGAGGAGCAGGCAGGACACACATCCATTTTATAACCCAGTTTATTCTAAACATACCCAGCTGCTGGCTGTTTAGACTTCTCTCATGGCAGATGAGTAAAATGAAGAAGGAAAAATCTTCATTGCCAAGAAAGAAAAGTCTTCCTTGCAAAGCCCCTTCCCTCTGCACCGCCATCCTCCCGTCCCTCCCCGCACCTGCATCAGCACAGAGCTGGGGTGGCAGTACCTTGACTCCATCCTTCAACCAGGTCCCGGGACCCAGGTCGTGGGTGAGGGTGCAGGACAGCACGGCGTCCTCGCCCCACTGCACTTCCGTGTCGACCAGGCCCTGGGAGAAGTGGCCCGCGGGGCCTGGGGAGACACAGGGGGCGTCTGGGGGCTGGTTGCCCAGGGATTCTCCCAAGGCCCAGACTCCCAGGCCGTGGCCGCACTGTGCCCTGGAGGGCACCAAGTCCTGCCAACTGGGCTCAGCCGGTGCCAGCAAAGCCGGGCCCCTAGTTTTTCCCGAAGGGCCTAGGCTCGTGCAGGAGATGCGGGTGTGAGGTGCATGGAGGGGCCCTGAGTCACACAGACACGGAGTCTGTGTAACACAGAGAGGGTCAGTCCAACAGCTCTGGTGCACTGGACAGAGGGTGTCAATATGCACACCCAGGACACCTCGCTGAGCCCCAGGCAGCCTGGATCCCCCCCAAGGAGGGGGAAGAGGTTGCTTCCTGGGTTGGGAAGAGATCCCTGAAAATGGGGACACTGGAGGGACAAACTCCTGGGGCTGGAGGCAGAATGGGGACCGACCCAGGAATCCCAGCATCGGATGGGACTCAGCCTGCTGAGAAATACTTACCTCGGGCCTCCTCGGAGAAACGGCCAGCATCAGGCCCATCAGGCCTGTATCTGGATCTGGGACTCTGGGTGGCATCTCGCCCCTGGCCGTCGGCGTCCCACCTGGCCTCTCTGCCGCCTCTCCTGCTGCCGGGATGGCTCAGGGGGTCCTGCTGCTGGTCCTGGTGCAGAGCCTCTCCCAGGCCCCCTCTGCTCGTCTCTCCAGGCAGCCGCCCCAGGCCTCTGGCCTCATCCGCTCCTCCTCTCTTTGCAGCTCCAGCCTCGGCCCCCAATTGTGTTTGAGCCCTGTTCCTGGGTGCACCCAGCCTACCGTCTAACCTGCTAGACTCTGCTGCTCCCCATCCCTGAGACTCCTTTAGGGCCCCTGGACCTCGGGCTTTGTCATTCTCAGCCTCCAGAGACCCCTCACCCCCTAGGGACCCCCTTCCTCCCCTCAGCCCTTTGCCTGGCTGAGCTCCAAGGTCCTGGATGCCCCCTGATCTGTCCCCAGAGTCTTTTATGCCAAATGGACCATCTAGCCCATTCCAGGCTCCCTGAGGTCCTGTGTCCCCAGGTTTTTGGGTGAGGCCCTTCTCCCCATCACTGTAAGTCTCTTTATCCAGGACACCCGAGACCCCTGGGCCACTGGATCTGCCCCTTCCAGGACCTGAACCTTTGCTATCTGGGAACCTTGAGCCTCTCCACCCCCTAGCTTCTTCTTGGCCTGGAGCCCTGTCCCAGCCCCTGGAGCCCTCTGGTCCTTCATGGGTCCCATGGAAAGCCGCATCTTTCTCCTGCAGTGCACTGGGAGCCCTGGAGCCTGGGAGCTGCTTCCCAGCACCAGTGCTGTCTTGGCCAAACCGCTGGTCTTCCTGGCCTGGGGCCCAAGCACGGCTCTCCCCTCCCCCATCAGCAGCCCCTGGCCTTGATTTGCCCCTTTCCCCGGGCATCCCTCTGCCGTCCAGCACCTGGCCCGCACCTGCTGAGCTCCCTGAGCCTTCTCCCATTCTCCTGCCCCCGAGCAGTGCATCCCCAGCTCCCTGAGGGGCCGGTGCCCCTGGACCAGCCTCTCTACCCCTGTCTTCTGTCCCTGGGCCTGCTTTCCAGGAGTCCTGTTCACGCCCAGAGTCCAGAGCAGCTGTCCCTGCCCAGGCCTCACCCTCCACTGCCCCTCGACCACCAAGACACCCAGAAGTCCCCATACCCCCTGCTTGGTCTGCGGACCTGCCCTTCCTACTGGTAGCCTCTCTGTCCCCAGGAGAACCTGGGGTCCCAGAGGCCCCAAGACCACCCTTGGATCCCTGCCCATCTGGAAGGATCTGTGGCCCTCTGGGCATCCCCAGCACCCCAGGGCCCCTGTGTCCTGTGCCGTCTGCGGTGCCCAGTATTCCAGTCTGCCCAGAACCCACCCCAGGCCCTGTCCCGTCTACATGCCCAACTCCCCTGCCCCTCTCTGCACCATCTTTTTTGCTTGTGCCACCGTCAGACCCCTCTGATGCTGCCCAGGATGCAGACCTGCGCCCTTGGGCCTCTTGGCCTCTGGGTCCACCCTCATATCCCCCTCCAGCCAGTGAGCCTGTTACTCCGAAACCTCCTGAGCCATCTCTGTAGCCCATCTCACCTTCTGACCCTATTTCCCCAGGTCCTCCTGAGCCTCCCCTATAACCTGCCTCACCCCCTGACCCCATTCTACCAGGACCCCCTAAACCATCCCCATACCCTGCCTCACCCCCCGACCCCATTCTCCCAGGACCCCCTAAACCATCCTTATAACCTGCCTCACCCCCTACCCCCATTCTCCCAGGACCCCCTAAACCATCCCCATAACCTGCCTGCCCCCCTAAACCCACTCCCTCAGGACCCCCGAAATCTTTCCTATAGTCTGCCTTGTCTACTGACCCTCTTTCCCCAGAACCCCCAATACCATCCCTATAACCCGGTCCAGCCCCTGACCCTGTTCCTCCGAGGCCCCCTGCACCGTCTCTAAAGCCCGCCTCACCCCCTGGCCCCATCCCCCCAGGCCCAAGCTCCCTTGAGCCTCCCCCATAAGCTGTTCTGCCTCCAGCAGATCCATCCCCATAACCCAGCGCGTTGCCAGACCCGTAAGCCCCCCGGCTCGTGGAGCCGGCCCCAGCGTGAGGAGCTAGTGCCTCGGGGCGCCTGGTATCATCCCAGTCAGCAGCTCCAGCTCCAGAGGCCCCAGCACCACGGCCCCTGGGCCCATCCCCATCACTCACTTTGCCCCCTGCCCTCAGAGACCTTGGCTCTGTGGCTCCTGGACCCCCAGAGCCATCCTCATGGCCTCCTTCTCCAAAGGACCCCAGAGCCCCTGAGGCTTTGAAGCCCCCGTAATCTCCAGTCTGACCCCAAGGCCTTATTCTTCCAGAGTCCCCTGGTTCAGCTCCCACTTGTCCCTCCCCAACAGCCTCCACTGTTGCAGAGGCCCCGAGGCCACCTCTACCCACAGACCCCGCTTTCCCAGGGCTCCCGAGGCCACCATCAGAACGATGCCTTCCCCCAGGGCCAGCATCTCCCTGGCCTCCAGGCACATCCCTGGCCTCTGGATGCATCCCAGCTTCATCCATGGGCCCTCCATCAGGGCCACTGGAGCCACTCTTGATACCAGCAAGTCTCCCCGATCCCCTTCTTGCAGGACCATAACCATCTTTGTCTCCAGACCACGTTCCCCCGGGCACCCCTGAGCCATGTCTGTAACCACCTCCTACCTCAGACTCGGTTTCCCCAGGTGCCCCAGAGGAGACTCTATAACCAGCACCCTGACCAGATCCCATTTCTCCTGGCCCCCCTGAGCCATCCCTATAACCAGCCCCCTTTTCTGAACCTACTCCCCTGGAATACCCTAAGCCATCACCATACCTGGAGTCCATCCCCCCTGGACCCCCTAAGCCATCCTTGTAGCCCATCTCACCCCTGGATCCTTTTCCTCCAGAGCCCCATGAACCATTCCAGAAATCTGGGTCAGATCCTACTGCCCCTGGGCCTCTTAATCCATCTGTGTCTCCCAGTGTCCCCCCTGACCCCTGAGCACCCAGGCCTGGAGACCCAATTAGCCTGTGGCTTCTGGCATCTACCCCCTGACCAGACCCCATCAGCCCAGTCACTTGGGCACCACCCACACCCCCTTTCTCTCCACCAGACCCCCACACTCCCGGCCCGTGGTGGGCCCCAGTTTTGCTGAGGCTGGACTGTGTGTCATCCCAAGGACCTGCGCTCTCAGCCTCTATTCTGCCGGCGCCCCCTGCTCCGCTCTGACCTGCTGTCCAGCCCTGGGAATACTGGAGGCTTCTGGACCCATCGCCTGCCTCGCCCAAGGCCCCTGCGGTCCCCTGGCCCTCCCTTCCCCTGAGCCCCTGCTCATCCCCTTCCCAGCCCCTGGGACCTCCTGAGCCTCCAAGGCTGGTTCTGTAGCCCTTGCCCCCTCCCATGGACGCCCCTGGGCCTCCATCCTCTGCCCCCAGCAGGGAGCCCTCACCTTTGGCCTCAGGACCCCCGCGCCCCAGGGGGAATTTCCTGCCAGAAAAGTCCTTGCCTGCAGATGTCTGTCCTGGAGACTCCTCTGACCCCCAGAAGCCCCTTGCTTCCCCGTGGTCAGCATCACTACCTGCCCAAGAGCCCCCGGACTCACGGCCCCTGCCTGCCTTGGAGCTAGAACCTCTTTCTCCAGGGGACCCCAGGGCACCAGGACCTCCGGCCCCACTGCTGTCTCCAGCTCCCCCCAGGCCTGCCCCACTACCCCACACTGCCCTAGCTGCTCCTCTCCCCCTTGCTCTGCTCGGATCATCCCCTCCTTCCATCTCAGCCAGGCTCTCCCCCTGCAAAATCTCCATCTCTTCCTCTTCTGACCGAGACCCCGCAGGACCAGACTGAGACCCCCGCAGGGCCCTCTTTCCTATGCCAGGTCCCCTCTGAGCACCCCAGAGGAGCTGCTGGCCGTGCCCGTCTAGTTCGCTCCCATTTTCCTCTCTGTGTTCCTTTCCTTCCCATCTTCCCCCCGCTCCTCCAGCCCAAGGGCGGCCGGACCCAGCCTCCCAGCCCCCTGCGAGCCTGCTGCCTCCATCACCGTCTCTGCCGCGACCCTGTTGTTGACCTTCCCTGAGGTCCAGTCCTGATTCTAGGCCCTCTTGCTGTCCCTGGGCCCTCCCGGGAAGGCCCCTGTCCCAGCCCCCCTCTCTGCGGAGCTGACCGTCCCCAGGAAGGGCGACGCTGCCTCCCTCTGCTTCCAGGAAGCCCTTTCTTGCCTGCCCAGGGCCCCAGACTGAGTCAGCTGCCCCCTTGTCGCCCACCAAGGAGGAGTCATGCCCATCAAGGCCACCTCTGTCTGGGCCGGCTGAGAGCTGGAGCCCGGAAGCCAGCCCCGCCCCATCAAGGGAGCTCCCTATGCGGCCCTGCTCCCTGGCTGTCCCTCCCTTGCCACTGAGGCTCCAGGAATCTTCTGCTTCTGAGGTCTGGGCTGCTCGTGCCTGCAGCTGGTGGTCAGCACTTGTGGTCAGAAGGTCTTTATCCTTCCCAGCTTTGGTGAGCGGACGGCGGCCCCACAGAGAGACAAGAGGAAAGGCCGTTTGAATCAGGCCGAGGTGCCCGTCTGTGCCTCAGTTTCCCCAGTAAAGAAGCAAGCCAACCATCTCAAAGAAGCCAGGAAGTGCCAGCACATTGATGGACAAGTCCCATGACCACCTCCCCCAGCCCCGTACCCACAGCTCAGCCAGCCCTGCTCTGCGGTTTGCGAGGACTTTCGGAGGAAAGATAAAAGCCACACGTCATTTGCTTATCCAACTGCCAGACCCGTCGTGCGGTTTTTACAAGGTCCGTTTGCCCCACCGGCTGCCTTACAAATGTCCAGTTTACACTTTCCTGGGGTCTCCTTGAACCCAAATCCCTCGGTTGTAGGGTGGCACTAAGGGTGTTCTTTGGCCTGACCCAGGGGCTTCTCGTCCACGCTGAGCCCAGGCCACTGTCCGCAGCCCTGTCCAGGATCCTAGGGCCATCTTGGATTTGTGGCCCCGAGCAGGTGTAACTGAGGAGGGCTGGGCCGGCTGGGAGCCTGCCTCGCGGGGTCGAGGATAGAGCAAAGGAGGCTTCCTCCTTCTCTGAGAGGGAAGGAGTCATCGAAAGCAAATGACTGACCAGAAGAGGGCCCTGCCACTGGCCTTCCTCACTGCCCCGAGGCCCCGAGGCCTGGCCGTGGGAGAGGCTGGGAAGATGGAGGGGTGGACCAGACCGCTCACCTTCAACCACCAGCCAGGCGCTGGAGGCGTGGAACCCGGTGCTCAGCGAGTAGAGGCCCATGTCTGAGAAACGGGCCCCTCTCACCACCAGCTGGTGGGTCAGCCCGTCAGGGGACACAGACACTTCATATTTGTTGCCGCGCCGGAGCGGCCGGTGCTGGAAATTCCAGGCGGCGTCGGGGCAGGGGCCAGAGAGGACGCACTCGAAGACGGCATCGCCGCGCTCCTTGCAGCGGGCCTCGGTCAGCGGGACCACCACGTGCGGGGGGATGGCTGTCAGGAAAGGAGGAACAGGGCGTCAGCTCGGCAGCATGATCCAGCGGGACCTGATGCCGCGGGGCTGGGAGTTCAGAAACGCTGATTCAGGCCTGCTTGGCCGCAAATTCCTGTGTCTCCTTGGACGGCCAGCTCCTTGTCCAGGGATCAGTCCCCTCACGTCAAATGAGGCGTTATAATTTGGTTATGAACAGAAAGACTGCCTTCAGCTCTGGAATTCTATAATTCCCAACCCAAGGTCATATCTGGGGGTGGGGGGTGCGTGAAGGAGACCCGCACGCTGAGCGCCGACGCTTCTCGTGCAGCCTCTTATTAATCTCACGCCCACCTTGAGGTCTCACGGCTCCTTTTGACAGGTTAGGAAACCAAGCCCGCCAAAGTTCAAGGACTGGCCCATCTCACCCAGCTAAGAGGTGGCCCAGGCAGGACTCACACCCGGGTCCGGTGGACCCCAAACGCCCCGCTCCTTTCTCCACGCCACGTCATTTCCAGGCTGCGCAAAGCCCCCTCCAGGCGGGCCAGGCCTGCCGGACCGCTCATCCCTCCCGTTCCCTCAGCCTCGGCTCAGCCGTGTGCTTTATGCTGTATTTGCCCAAGGCTTCCTCCCCAGCCTCTCCGCCTTCCAGGAGCTCCAGGGTGACGTGTGCATGGCTCTTCAGGACGGGAGGGAGTTTGATGAGGGAGGAAGTGACAGTTCCCAGGGGAGAGCGCACGGGAGGCAGAGCAGAAAGAGGCCTCTGTGGGCACCAGCTGTCTGCCCAGGCGGGGCTTCTTGCTAAGGGATGTGGGAGATGAGGACGAGCCTCAGACGGGGCAGAATCTGCAGGCTGAGAACTTAGACCCTGATCTGACTTCGCTGTGGAAGGTCTGTGAGCGGGGCACGCTGTGTGCATTCTACATCCGCGGCTGAAACCCAGCCCGGCTCAGCACCAAGAGGCCACAGGCCTGACACGGAGACTTCCGGAAAGAGACTGTCATCCCTGAACCCTCGGGACACGCGTTCCTGCCCCCAGCTGTCTTCTCGAGGGGGGACCTGTCACGTTCCTCTGTCCCCCTACCCATGGCACTGACCCGGTTGCCCCACCCCCCAAACTTCTGCAAGGACCACCACCCACCGCTGGCGTCCAGTTCCGTGGAGAAGATCTCTGTGTCCTCCACCTTGACCTGGTAGATGCCCGCATCCTCGGGCTGAAGGTCCTTGATCTGGAAATGGTAGTGCTTCCCCAGATGCCGCAGACAGTGCTTGGTCTGGTTGTCGAAGCCGTAGGGGATCATCTCGCCATCCTGAGGCCGGCAGAGGGAGAGCGAGGTTTGGGGCCTTGGCAGGTCCCCAGCACCTCCTGCCCCCAGTCCCACTCTGGCTACAACCAGCTGTTTCCTCCCACTGGCCCAGGTGCCAGAAAACCTATCAATGGAACAGCACGGAGTCGGGGGGTGCTGGGGGTGGAGAGTGGGTCCTGGAGCCTGGAGAACAGGCGGTGTGAGGTGGAGGAGAATAAATGCTCTGGGATGGGCCCTGACGGCCCCCGGGGAGTGATCATCTGCTAGGGTCACGCGAGAGCCCCTGAGATGGCGAGACCGCGGCTCGGACCAAGGAGACGCCTGCCCAGGCAGCTGTGCCAGGTGAGCAGGGGGCAGGGAGTCCATGCCAAGGCCCTGGGGCGCAGGACGTTCATTCACGGAGGGAGGAAGAGAGCGCTCTCAGTGTCCTTAAAGCTCCTCTGAACCCAGGGATCAAGGCGCACGGACACTGCAGCTCAGTCTGGGTGGATCGGCCACTTGTGCATATTAGCAACAGCGAACACCTGCCCGCTGGGTGCCAGGCAGTGTCTGCGTGCTCGGGACACAGCCGTGAATAAGACTAAGATTCCTGCCCCCGGGGAGCTGAAGTTCCATCTGGGAGACAGACAAGTAATAAACATCTTAAGTAAATAATGTCGCGTGTGGGAGAAAGAGACGGAACTAAGGAAAAGAGAAAGGGGGCGCTCAGGAGTACAGGATGGGTCTGGGGATCCAGCAGTTGCCCAGGGCGGGCGTGGGGCTCCCTGCAGGAGAAGGGCTTAGCCGCGAGGATATCAGTAAGAGCACGGCCGGCAGAGGGACAGGCCGGGGGCAGGCACAGAGGAGTGGGGGAGAGGGAGACATCGTGCATGACCTCACTTATCGTCTCGGCACGCCGGAGACAGGCTCTCCAGTCCTCACTTCACAAATGAGGAAACTGAGGCACAGGGGAGGCAAGCAGCCTCCCTCAGTCGGTAGCACGTTGGTGTCAGAACACAGGACTGGTGCTAGGCCTTGCTGACCCCCACCCCCGCCCCAGGCCCCACCTGGTTGATGGCGGGGCCCATGCCTGGAGACAGAGCCCAGGTGGAAGGGATGTGCTTGCTCAGAATCCCCCTTTTTTCCTCCCAGGCCCTGTCCGGAGAGCCCCGCTGCTCAGTGAGAGGTTAGAGGTCTCCGTGGAATGTCTACACCCGGCTTTGACCTGACTCCCACCAGGAGCTCCACAAGACGCATGGCTCACCCCCATGTTCTCTGGTTCTTCCCACAGGGGGACCCATGGACCCATGGTCCCTCCCCAGACCTGCACCATCCCGTGTCCGTTCAGGGCCCAGCCAGCCTCACCTTGTACAGGTAGATCTTGCTCCCCAAATCCTTGAGATCCAGCTCCAGGTGAAACGAGGCCACCCCATCCTTGCTGACCTTGATGTGCCTCAGGTTGGCGAGGATGTTGACGTACTGGGGAAGACAGCCCACCAGGGAGCTCGCTGAGCTCTGTCCTCGGGGCACTCCCGCCCCTCAGACCGCAGCCCCGATATCGCGGGTGAGCACGGTTTGCCCGTGTTCAGGTGGGACCCTTCAGCTCCGTGAAGTGGGAAGTTCCCCAGGGTGAGCCATCGGGTCAGGAAGGGGAGCAGGAACGGACCCCAGGCATCCAGGTGCCCCGAGAACATGGTGGGTGTCTCTGCTCATCACTATTCCATCCAACAAACATCAAAAAAACTGAGCAACTACTGTGTGCAAAGCCCTCTGCTGGGTCTCGTGTTAGAACAGCTGAGGAGGCTCAGAGGAGAGGAAGCCGAGACCCTAGAGGGGAGGTTTGATGAACCACCCTCAAGGGGATAAAATACTATTTTCAGGATAATGAAAACTAGCTGTTTTGCATTTCCAGAAGAAGAATTTGACTTATCCTATAGTTAGGGTAGACACAGCGAAGAACTTCCCATACGGTTTCTAAGATGCTGGAATGAGAGCACTCAGGGGAACCGAGAAATTCCCTTCTCTGGAAGCCTTTAGAAATAAGGCAGGTGCCCACCGTCTGGTGATGACAACAGACAAGGACGATGGCGGTGACAGCTGACATGAAGCCCTTGCTGTGCGTCGGGCACCAGGCTAAGCACATTCTCTCTTTCATGCTCTCAATAACCCTACGAGGTACGGATGACCAGAACACCCGTTTTACAAAGAAGGAAACCAAGACCCAGAGGCCCCAACTCTCCCAAAGCCCCAGATTTGGGCAGCATCAGAACCAGGTTCAAGCCAGGATGCCGGCTCGGAAGGCTGGGTCCTCAGCCGGGCACCCCGCCGGGGGTGGGACGAGGGGGCCCCCCCGGCCACGCTCGGTTTCCCAGCTCCAGGGGTGCGGCCGGGCGAGGGCACCTGTGAAATCTTGTGCTCTCGCTCCTTCTGCATCTGCCTCAGCTTGTGCAGCATCCCCCTGAAGTCCACGATGCCATACTTCATGCAGATCCGCTCGTAGTCTTTCCGGTCGGCCGTCATCAGCAGCTGCCACACTTGTTCCATGTCCACCTTTTTCTCGGGGGCGGGAGGAGCCCTGGGGAGCAGGGTGGGCAGGTCAGAGGCCGGCGTGGGGGTGGCTAGGAGCTGGTCATCTGGCCCCGATGCCCCGAGGGGGTCCTGGGGAGCTACCCTCTCTGTGCTGGAGGAAAGGAACCCAGAGACTGGGATCTGGGACTGACTCCTGTTAGGACTGGAAGGACCCAGAGATGGGCAGGGGCAGCCCTGGCCCCACAGCTCCAGCTTCGTGGGAGAAACTCTGCTCCTAACAGCTTGTATGGTGGATGTCTGAGACATCTTGCTCAGAAAGAAAGGAAGAGGAAAGAAAGGAAAGGTGGGAGATTGTTCTGTCGCTTTATAAAAAATTTTTATAAGTCCCTGTTCTAGCGGAATGTCCAAATTTTTTTCTCTCTTTTTTTGGTGAGGAAGAGTGGCCCTGAGCTAACGTCTGTTGCCAATCTTCCTCTTTTTGCTTGAGGAAGATGGGAGATTGTCTCTGAGCTAACATCTGTGCCAGTCTTCCTCTATTTTGTACGTGAGATGCCGCCACAGCATGGCTTGAGGAGCAGTGTGTAGGTCCGCGCCCAGGATCTGAACCGGGAACCCAGGGCCGCGGAAGCGAAGCACGTGAACTTAACCACGACACCACCCGGCCAGCCCTGGAGCACCCGATTTCACAAACGAGTAAATGAGAATCCAGAAAGGAGAGACCCTTAACTCCAGGATGTACAGCTTAAAAGTGGCAGAGCTGGATGGGGAATTCCTGGTCCGGATTGCCCTCCCCTCCTCCCTCGGGCCGCCTGCGGCCAAGCTTCTCCGCGTGTGTCCGAGGGTGCAGGAGAAAAGCGCAGGGGGACGGGCACCACAGGAGCTCCAAAACCCGCCGCGGACAGGCTGGACCCACCTCTTCTTGAGTAACTTCCGGAATTCTGCCAGCTCCTTCCTAAGGTCTAGAAAAGAAGCAGGAATAAGGCCCCGTCCCGGGTGGGGTTCCCAGGGGCCAAGGCGGGCTTTTCCGTAGAAAGGGGGGCAGTGGGGAGGGGATCAAGGGGGACCTGTGGACCGTGGCTGACGGCCGAGCTTTTGAAAGGGGCTTTCCTGTGGGCTGACAATGACCCCTCAGGTGTCCCTGGGGGCTTGGCCAAGTGGGGAGCATGGAGCAGCACATCCCCCAAAGACCCCAAGATTTCTGACAACCCTTCCACCTACCCTCCTGGGGCTCCTTCACCCTCTTCCGACTCTTCCGGAAGCCAACTGGACCGTCAAGAGGAGAGTTCACGTGGATGGTCAGGGAGAGAAGCAAGAAGACACGCTGATGGCCTTCCTGTGACCAACAGGGCACCAGGGCCCTGACCTCCCCTCTGAGGCCTGGCAACGGCCCAGCAAGAGGGATAAGCAGGGCGGAGGGTCTGTCCATCATCAGCGTGGATGCCCCAGGGCCTTAGCACGGCCAAAATGGAATCACCCTGGTTATCATCACACACAGGGGAGGCCCACACCCACATTTCCAGGGGCCAAGGAGGCATGATCACGCAGAGTGACCACAGGTGACCACAACGAACTGAAGCTGTTTGGCTGATCCTGCGGCCATTCTGAATCCTGTTCTGCATCACCTACGTCCTCTAAAGATGCTGGGAAGCTAAATACTTGCCTTCCCAACTTCCCTTGCAACTAAGAGCGGCCACGAGACAGAGATTTGCCCCTGAGATGTGAGCCGAAGTCTCTGCGGAGTTTCTGAGAACTCTTTCGCCAGGGCCCCTCCCGCCCCCGTGCCGGCCCTGAGTGTGGGCTCAGTCTGGATCTGCGGCAGCCACTTTACCACCATGAGGTGATGAGCCAGGCTCAGAGCACGAGACAGAAACAGCCTGGCTCCCCGGTGACAGCCCTGAGCTGGGAGCCTGGACTCGTCTCTGAACTTCTTCTCACGGGAAGTAACGGGGTGTCCTTATTTCTTGGGCTGCTGGAGTGGGGTTCCCTCTTACTCGGAGGCAGAAGTGGGACCAACTGAGAGATTGGGTCTGCTTTCTTGAGAGACAACTGCCTTCCAATTTATACACGTTGACAACTTCAAAGTTTTTGAAACACCGTGCAAACCAAAAAAATCCCACGTCTGAGAAAGGGTTTGGCGTTTAGAGTACCCATTTTCCCCCTCTGGTGTAGACCTGCACAAAGCATTCTTTGCACATGGGGGAAACTGAGGCCCAGAGGACTTCGTGAAGCCCGCTTTATGAGCTGGCAGAAGATCCAGGATTAGAAGCCAACTTCCAGGTCCTGGGCTCCTTCCACGGGGCTGAGACACCGTCACTCAGAGGCTGCGTGGGACGTGTGCCGAGCGCGCGCCTGTGCAGCCACACGCAGTGCTGGTGTGTGAGTGGACGAGGCCGCAGCCTCCTGGGTCCCCTCTCCCTCCCCCACGGGTGTGAGGCCCCTGAGTCCTCTCCGGGCCCTCCGAGCCCCCGAGCACCGCCGAGACAGGCCAGGGGACGGGTCCAGGGTGCCCACCTTCGATGACGGTGAGCCTGGCGGAGCACATGGCCTCCCCGTACATGTTGATCGCGGTGCAGCGGTACTGGTCCGTGTCCTCACCCGTCAGCTTGTTGATCTGCAGAGGTCAAGGGCAGGGGACGGGGCTAGCCAACATCCTCCCCACCATTACTAGACATGGCTGCGTGTCACAGAGATGAGTAAGACGCCGTCCTTGTCCTCATCAGGAAAGCATATCCCAAAACAAAATCCTGGATCAGGCCAGAGGGTGGAAATGCCTGCCCTGCCATCAGAGACAACCTGGGGTGGTGGACAGAGCTCGCTTTCTTGAGTCAGACGGATCTGGGACTAAATACCATCTCTGTCATGTATTACAGGCTGTGCAACCTTGGGCAAGTTACCTAACCTCTCTGAACCTTATTTCTTTACTTGTAAAATCAGGGTAATGATACCTCAAACGGCAGTGAACGGTGGGATCGAAGTGTATAATCTATATCACGTGGTTAGCCCAGGGCCCAGCACGCAGTAGGGGTTCCACGATTGGGAGCTGTCGAGATGACTAATGCTGACCAGCATTGGTTGAGTGAGGCTCACCATGGGCCAGACAATTTACATAACCTTTAATGCCCATAAAAACCCTACAACATAGGTACTATTGTGACCCCTTTTACAGATGAGGACATAGAGATACAGAGAAGTAAGTAGCCATCCGAGGCCGAGGCTGTGGGCCTGGGGTTGCAACTAAGCCGTCAGACTCCAGGCCTGCGTTCTGAAGCTCTCGTCTACACGGCCTCCCAGGTTATCAGCAGATGCACCCGGAAGTCTGTCCGCTCCACACCCAGCTTGGCGACTGTCGGAGCCACAGGGTGGAGCTGAGCGGACTCAGTTCCAGCTGGGGCATCTCCCTCTGCTCTGGGGAGGGGAGGAGACCCCCGGGGGGGCCGGGAAGAGAGGGGCGGACGGCGGCCTGCCCCTGCCTACCTGCAGCGTGTGCTCCCTGCCGCCAGGGCCGGAGGAGATCTCGTACTTGCTGGAGTTGCTGAGGCTACCTTTGCTGCACTGCCAGCGCACCAGGGGTCTGGGCTCCCCGGAGACCACCGCCCGGAAGATGGCATTTCTCCCTGTGGCGGGAGAAGGCCCGTGGGAGATTGACAAGTTGAGGGTGGCGGGGAGAGGGTATTTACGGAGACCTGAGTTTGAGTTGTCTTTGCTGTTCTAGGTGTTGCAACTGCCTACTCCAAGAAAGAGGCCAGACCTTGGTCCCCTTGACTCAAGGACTCCGCCGATGCCCGGGGGACAGCAGCAGTTTCCAGGACCCCAGGAGACCCCCCTTGCCTGGCTTTCATCCGGCAGAGCCCAGGCTCCTTGAGAAAAGATACAGCTGGACCGTCCTCGGTGGAGGGGGCGGCGAGCATGCTCGGGGTTGGAGGAGGTGTTCTGTTGCAGGTGGGTGGGGTGAGGAGTCTGAAAGACTCCCCAAGACTGGGGAGGGGATGAATCTTTTGTGGGTTCCACGTCTGCTCTCTAGGGGGGCATGACAACCTTGGAAAGGCATGGGTGTCTGATGCCCCGGGGGGCTGATCCTGAGACATAGGGCTCCAGCCTCGGAAAGGCCCTGAGTTCTGTGTTTGGTGTGGGAGCCTGGGCACTCCTCGGCTAGAGGACCCCTCGGGATTCCCCAGGAACATCCCAATAGAGGTGTATGGAGGGAAGACCCCAGGGCGCTCCCCAGTGTTGAGACAAAACTCTCAGGACCTCGTGGAGTCGGGGTTTAGGGTCAGATTTAGAAAACTAGCGGGCCAATACTTTTCTCGCACCAGAGTGCTGTAAACTGAAGGTCACAGCAGGGACGTGTTTCGAGGGAAGAACACCAATTCACACCCCTTCTCCACAAGCCTTTGTTCCCCCTGCTTTCCCGGGCACTTTTCCTGCGTGGCCTCCGAGAAGCCTCCAGGGCCCAGTCTGTGAGCGTGGGGTGCAGCTTCTGGAGGCAAGGGCCGGCAGGAGCCCAGATTCACTCCGTTTCGCTCCCTCTCCGCTGCAGCCGCTTGGAGGCCGGGAGAGGGCAGGGGCTCCAGGAAACCCCACAGCCTCTCCCTGCTCCCAGGTTAGCATTTCCAGTCCTTGTTCCCCAGATATTTCTTGCATCAGCAAATCACAGCATATCTTCATCCCCTTACCCATTCTGGTCCTCAGGGCCCTGCCTTTCTGGGGATCCAGGCAGACAGGCACCCCCAAATATAGGGATGATGGGCTCAGGGACTGCGAGGCAGGCCAGGAAGGATAGGAACCCTTTGCATGATGGGAGTACTGGGCGGGGGTCTCGCCCCCCCTCTCGGCGGCTCTCCTCCCAGGGCTCACCCTCCTGCAGCGCCAAGGTGACGGGCTTCTGGTCGAAGCTGGGCAGTCTGCATCCTTGAGGGACCTCCTCCACCAGCTGCCGGATGCTCACTCCAGGGGTGGAGGACCTCTGGAAGGGCTTCCCTGGAGAGGGTGGGAGAAAGGGAGGTGGGCCCTGCTCCCGCTCCCCCGAGCGTGCGGCCCTTCAACACAACGGAGCATTGACCCGCTCGCCCAAGGAGCAAGAGCCCCCTTGGCTCTCCCACCATTGGGCAGGATTGTCTCTCATAGCTCTGACTGGCAGCAGCGCTTTCGAATGCTCTAGTGGGACCTGGCGGTGGTCCGCCAGCTGTGCGAATGGAGCCGCTGGGGAGTAGGCAGTGGGTGTCCTGGGGGGACTCGAGGCCGAAGCTGGAGAAGGGAGGGTGGTTAAGGGCTCCTCGTCAGAAGCAGGGCCCATGTCGGGGGCTCTGCACCTTTGGTTCCAGAGAGCAAAACCCCAAGCTGAAACTTAAAAAAGCAAAGAAACAGATGGGCCACAAAGATCCCTGAGCCCTCCCCGTCCCTCTCTCCACCCTGGGGAGGGTCGCCCACCCTGGGGAGCCGAGGGCAGCTCTTCTCTCACCTGCCATGGTGCTGGCTCCTCTCTAGCTACTGGGGGTGGCGACTGATGTCCTGGGAATAGAAGACAGAACTGCTTATGGGAGGTGCGGGGCTGGTCCGCCCATCACTCCCACCCACCAGTGACGCAGCCAACAGCTGGGGCGGGAGCCGGGTCGGGGTAGCTGCCCCCGAGAGCTTGTCTCACCCCAGCTAATGACACGGATTGTTTCCTGCAACCCCCGCGCAGCAAAGCCAATTTCCCAGAGTCAGGAAGTGGAAGGATGTTGCCCAATTGGACCTTTCCCGGGTAAAGAAAACCATGGAGCTCAGCCTCTAAACTGGGTTGGTGGCCTGGCCTCCTTGTAGGACCCCAGACCCAAGGACCGCTCAGAGGGGGAGGTACGGCCTCCCCAAACCTCAGGAGATCAAACTCCCGGCATTCACGTTCCTTCCAGATACTTAACAGCCTGGTCCCCTTGACTTTGGAAGGTCAATTTTCTAGGGCTGTTCTCTGGGACTCCTGGCTCCTCCTCCGACTCCGAGACTTCCTAGCAGGGCCCAGAGCCCTCCACCTCCCACGCTCAACCAGTCTGGAATCCTTCTGCTTATGGGGTCTGCGGGGCAGAATCCCTGACTTGGCTGCTCGTAAGCTCTTCTCGACCTTGGCCAAGGGGATCCCCATAAATCCATCTGCCCCCCTCTGAAGCCAGTGAATTATAGCGTCAGGTGAACAAGAGTGCTTGCCAGCCTCTCCCAACCACCACCGCCACCACCTCCCCCGACTTCCTCTTAATTGCATCCATCCATTTTGGCCAATGGGGAGTGCTACCCGGGAGAGGGAGGGGCTTGACTCTGGGCTGGGGGGAGCGCCTTGATGGGAGCCATGAGTTGGAGGGAGGAGAGGATGACTTGGAAGAACTCTCCAGCAGTCCCACCTCCTGTGCAGTTGGCCCATGGCCAAGGGGTTCCATTTTGGAGCCTCAATTTGCTGCCCTAAGAGCTGTGCAATGAATATAGGATCACACATGACAGCGCACATTCCTGCCTCCAACTCGCTCTTCCATTGCACAACCGCCCACCCACTGGCACTTCTGGCCCCAAAGCGTCCCCTCCACGGCCCGGCCTCTGCCCCCCAGCGCGCTGGAATGCCGTGTGGTGCCAACCGCGTTCTGGAGCGGTCACGGGGCCACAGCCGCCGTGCAGCAGGGAGTCACGAGGGAGGGCAAGGAGAGAGAGCAGCGCCAGTGGAGGAGAACCCAGCCGGCTGCCCCCCCGGGGCAGAGATGCAGGGGCCTGCGTCCCACCCACTCCCCGCCTGGCACCTGTCCACAGCCTCCACCCGGGAGGAGCTCAACACAGATGTCTTAGTCATCATCTTCGTCTTCATCCCCACCAGCCATCGGCTCTTTGTGCCACAGGAAAACATACAATGCTAACACCACCCTTCTCCCTCCAGACTCCTGCCTGCAGGTCCCAGGTGGGGAGGGAGAAAGGAGCAGAACCCCTATGGGGACTTTGGGGTCCGAGGCTAAGCCATCTCGCCCTCTGACCTCCATTCTCTCCAGGATTAAGCCAGATTTCGTGCAACGTCAATGACGAATGAGATCTGTTTGGTCGGAGACGAGCAGTGTCGGTTGGAGGGGATGCGGAGGAAATGAATTCTCTCCTCCATGGTTCATCCTCACTTTTGAGAAGAGTCCTAATCCTTCTCAGGACCACACAGCAGCTGGTGTCCTCACTTCAGCCTGTCCCCACGAGGATGTCAGCCCTGGACCCCGGGGCGGGGCCTCCTGGTCTCTCTCCAGGACCCTCAGCCCTCCACCCTCTGTCTCCACCTGCTGTTTTGTCGTGCGGCCCCATGTTCCTGCTGCCTCCCACTTCTCAGAGGGTAGGGGTCGAGGCAGGAAGAGACGAAGGGGGTTTCTCTCAACTGCTTTGACCACGTCATTGTCAGGATGTAACAGGTCCCAGCCCTGACGTCCTTATTCTGCACAGCCAGTCAGATCTGTAACCTGCTCATCGCTTCACAATCTAAACCAAGCAGCATCTGGAAAGTCAGAACCGGGACGGAACCACCCAGACAGGGGTCACTGAAATTCTCTCCTCCAAACATACTGGAGTTGCATAGAGGAGATGCACATGCACCCCAGGGGATGTTCCCGGGGTTAACTGGTGCCCACTGCCTGCCCCTTCTTGAGTAGAAATGGTAGACAGCATGCCGGGATCTCCCTTTCTGCTCTACGCCCTCCCTGGGTGGGCAGCCAGGTGTGCGTGCCCTCTTACCTGGGCGTGCAGCTGGCCTCCAGCCGCCTGTCCGCCCCCTCCTCCCTGTTTCCAGCTGCCGCGCTGCCAGAGGCTCTGAATGGACTGCTGGTGGACAGGCAGTGCTGGGAGCAGATGTAGGTCACGCAGACTCCTCGGCTCCCTCCGCCCCTCCCACTCACCCCACCCCCATCCTCCTCCTTCCCCCGGGCTTGGCAGGGCAGGCCCCCCAGGGTTAATGCCCTGGCCTCCGAGGAGGTCAGAGATGGAAGGGTCCTGTGACATCAGCTTATCCAACTTCTTGTCTTGCAGAGCTTTGAGCTCTTAACCAGGTTGGCTTGGTTCAGTCTGCCCCATGTTGCCTCGTTTTTATGACCCCGTTTCGCAGGGGCGTTTCCATTGCCCAAAGCCTTCGTTTTTCCAGCTAAGCTGATCCCTTGGGACCCTGACACCCTGAGTCACAAAGACACAAAGTCACCACCCTCTTGTGAATCACAACCCAAAGTGGCACCAAACAGGAACCAACCTGGGGAGCTAGTCACAGACCCAGACAGGAGGGAGGGTGTGATCCCAGATGCTCTGTCATGGGGTACACCCCACCGAGAGCAGGGGGAGCAAGGGGAGACCCAGGGAGTCCCACAGCCAGGAGGCCTTCTGGGAGAAGGTGCGTTTTCTCGAGACAGAAGGGGTGACCCGGCCAGCTGGGATGGGGGCTGACGGTGGCAGGGCAGGTGGGCGGGTTTCTGAGGATGTGTGGATGGAAGGTGGGAGTGGGGGTAGGACGGCGATAACAGATTTTCCTAAGAAGAGTGGAGGCAGGCGAGGCCCAGAAGGAGAGAAGGTGAGAAGGCCACCTGCTCTTTCTTGAAGGGCAGGGAACCTGTTAGTGGCCACCAATAGGCAAGGATTGATCAAGGATTTGGGCAAAGGAGAAATGAGGCTAATGTTTTCCAGGGAGAGAGCACTGGTTATCAGCATGTTGCCAACCCCACAGGAGCCTCTGCACGTGCTCTGAGAGACGTGTGTGTGTGTGTGCAAGCACACGTGTATTTGTGTGTCCCCCGCGTGCTCCTAACTCTGGTGTTTCACTTATGCACAAACGTGTTGAATGCCAACCCTGTGTCGGGTCCTGGGTCTCCCCCGCTGTGTCAGGCACTGGGAAGACAAAGGAACTTAGTCTAAGGGGCAGACCGGCCTTAAACAGCCAGCTAATGCAACGCGAGCTCCCAAGGGACGGATGGTGAGCCACGGAGCTGAGCTCGCACGGCTAGGAACAAGCAGCGTGGGGCGAGCTGCGACAGGCCAGCTTTGGGAGCCAGTGGGGGATTTTGATCTCTATCCTAAGGGCTGTTGAGGTCTGCTTAAGCTGGAGGGGTGACAGGATCCAAGGAGCATTTTTAAAAACCTCACTCTGGTGCAGGGCGGAGAAGGGATGGAGGAGCGCGGGAGGGAGAGGCAGGAGCAGGGCAGACAGCGACCCCACAGTGTTCTTTCTTCCGTGGGGCCCTGAGCTCCAGGGGCCTCCTGAGCCACCACACTGTCTCGTCCAGGAGGGGAAGGGGAGGCTGTGAGCGTGGCCCAATACAGAGCTTTCGGGGTTCCTGGTGCCTCTGTTGGCCACCCAGGTTGCTGGCAGGCCTTTCCCTGAGGTCCGGGGATGGCCAATGGACAACAGGAGGGGTGGCTCTCTGCTCTGCACCGTACCGTCCTTGGATCCTGCTTGTCACGATAAGATGGAAACTTCAGGAGTCTAAGGAACTGAAATGCGGTTGGGGGAAGTGGTTCCCGGCCACCTCTGTCTTCTGTCCTCTGTCCTCTATCGAATGGAATGGTCAGTAACCTCCAGCCGTGCCTGGCGTGTTCAGCCACGCTCCTGAAGGCGAGAATCTTCAGTGGTGAGAAAGGTCCTCGGGCACACACGGGCGTTGCTCCCTGCGATGGGCAGTAGGTAACAAAGGGGTGGTGACGGGGTGTCCAGCCATAGCCCAGCCCCTTCTAAGAATTTCCCAGCTACCCCCCCAAGCCAGTGACAGTGCGCTCTGACTATTCTCCAATGATCTTTCCTAGTGCCCGGGTTTTAGCACACCGCCTCTGCCCGTGGTACAACTTTCTTACACCTCCTGACGGCCTATTCCTTGGGAGGTGAAGGAACAAGTCCCTGCCTTCATTGTTAGGGACCAACTATATCAAAAGAGCTCTGGGCAAGGGATCTGTGTGTATTATTGCCTCTTCCTCCATGCTATGGGAAGGGCTCAGGGACTTTGGGAAAGGAGCACAATTTATTAATGCCCTCCTGTCGCCACAGAGGGAAACGTATTATATGGCAGGTGCTGAGAGGCTCGGCCCCATTCAGGCCCCTCTCCGGGGCCCTCCTCCTCCCCAGGGCACAGTTGGGATGAGATGACCCCCGAGATCCTGGCCAGCTTGAGCCTTCTAGAGGCTTGTGACGTGCTGAGTGGGTTCCATGGACAAGGCCCCATCGTGGCCTTAGAAACAGGGTATTTCATGGACTCGGGAGAGAGGCTGAATTCATTTGCAGGCTGCTGTTGCCTCGACATCTTGGTGTACAAAGGCTCTGCTCCAGGCAAGCAAGGCCCTGGGGACGTGTTCCACGGGACAGTGTCCTCTCTCGCTCCCTCTGAGGTCCAGGTAGATGCGGTGGGAGTGCAGCGTTCTCATCAAAGACATGCGTGTGCACCCTCACACACACAACAATGTCACCAACAGAGCTGGACTCTCCCGGAAGGTAGGTGACTTTGCTGCCCCATGGAAATGGCTTCAGGAGTTTAAACCCATTTCTGAGCCTGGGCCTAGGACATAGGACTCTGTTCCAACCAGTCCTTACCCAGGAAGATGGAGGTGGGAGCGCGGGTCGGGGCAGACGACACCCTTCTGTCCTTCACACCAGCCTCCCCGAGCCGCTGTCGGGCTGTCATCTCCAACAGTCCACACCCTGCCCCACAGCTGCCCGCCTGGCGGGTGTGCCTCCCTATCCCCAGCCTGGCCCCGGTCAGGTCAGCCGTCTCTCGTGTGTTTCTCACCCCACCTGCCCACGATGACTCCCTTGCGGCCTCGAGGAATGAACACCCTGGAGACCCCAAGGGCAATTTCACGCTTGCAAAGCCGGCTTGGCTTTCAGCAACAGAGAAATTCCAGTCAGGAGCCAATCCTCCGATTGAAAGGGCCGGCTCAGCGGGCCTGATGACCTGGGGCCACAGAAGGGGGTCCTGTGGACCACCAGGGAGCAGACAGTGGGCCGAGCGCCTGCTCCAGCTTCCAGGAGGGGTTAGGCCACAGCGAGCATCAGTCTACTGGGAGAGCTTGGAACCTTCCGGAAGATGGGCGCTGGACGGAACCCTGGAGAGCATCTAAAGACAGCAGCAACACAATTACAGCCACCACAACGGTACTCGACTCTTAGGAGCTCTGCTGTGTGTCAGACGTTCTCCGAAGTCTTCAGACGTATTAACTCCTGAGTCTGCTCTCTTAACGACCAACGTTCTGTGGATCTAACCCACTCCCTCTCTTTCAGGGGTGGCCACGAGGCCCGCAGAGGAACACCGACTGCTAAAAGGCATGTGGTGAGTTAGCCAGACTCACTTCCAGGGCTGGGAGAAGCACCAACACCCAAGTCATTCCAGAAGGCTGCTCCCCGAGGCCTCACCCAGGTGGCGAGGAGGCGAATGACCCCTCCTGCTAAACAGGCCGCGGACCTGCTCTGTTCCCTAACGTCGCGATCTCGTTAGCCGGCCATCTGACGGGGACACTAGTCTGTTCTCACAGAATCACAGCAAATTACGGCGCTCACTGCGTCCCGGCTGCCGAGTGACGTTCATTTAGTCACACTACAACCCTGCAAGGTAGAGACTTCTTGTGTCTGCTGCACAGAGAAGGAAGCTGAGGCTGGGAGTCCTTGCGTAGGGGCCCCCGTTACACGGCTAGTAAGTGATGGAGCAGGGGTGTAAAGCGGGCCGTCTGGGTCCACCACACTTCTGCCTCCTGGCCTCGAGATTCAGAATTTCAAAAGTTAGATATAAGTCCACCTTTTGTGGCCTTCGTGGCTGCATTCTTTCGGTCATAAACTTCATCCTCAAAGATCTCCTGGGGCCCAGCAGAAGCCGAGAAGGGCCCAACCAGTTGCAATTTTGGGGGCTTCTGGTATTTTTTTTTTAAGGAAGAAATGATAAAACAGGGCTAAAATGTGGGTAGCATATTTTAAATATTTACATTTAGCCGCTTAACTCTCTTAACCCATAGACGCAAAATGCCGCGCGGAATCATCAGGCTGTTTGCGAATTATTGCAGGGTTTATGAAAGGGTTCGGTTCTCGGTGCCTCACCAGCAGCACCACACGGGAAGTGAACACGATTTGTGGTTTGAAAGCGTAAAACGAGCGGTCTTTTCCTTCATTTCCGTCAGCACATTTCTGCGACCTTTGTGGAGGACTCATTTGCAGACAACGCTGGGCCCTTCAAGGAGCGGCCGCCACCACCCGTGATGGGCTCTGCCCAGCCCAAGCCCAGGCGGGGAGGAAAACCTGCTGGGGTTCAGAGAGGGCTCTGCCTCCCCGCTTCTCCAGGCCCCACTGTCCCTCAGCACAGTGGCCCCAGGTCACAGCGCCCTTGGAAGCCCAGCTGGGTGACGGGCATGGCGGGAGGAGGCTGCAGGCCCTTTGGGAAGAAAGTACCTTCCTGCCACCTGTCCTGAGAGCCGTGACAAGGGTGGCCGTGGTCCCCACCACAACCTCACTACATCTGAGCCGCGTGCCCCTGACAACCATGGTCCTGCCACTTCTCCTGGTGGCACGGGAACTCACGCCAGGAGGCTTATGCTGGCGGTAGATGGGAGGGGAGGCCCGAGACCCCGCCCGGACACTCCTCTGGAACCCTCAACCAGCTGTCCGTCAAATCACTACCCTGAAGGCACAGAGCTGAAGGCCACCTCTCCAGTGGAGAAACTGAGTCCCGATGGAGCTAGGGAGCTGGGGGAGCAGCAGCGAGGCGGCCCGGAGGAGGAGCCAGCGCCTCGAGCCAGGGGACCGTGAAGGAGACCTGACGGTGGACTGGGGTGGGGAGCCAGGACCCCCGAGTCCTGGAACTGCCCTGGACGCCCCCAGGATGGCCGGACTCAGGCTCCTGCATGAGCAGCAGACGCCAGCAGGCCG